GCCAGGGAGAAGAGGCAGGAGGGCTGAGCAGGGTCTGGATCCCGAAGGTCCTTAGAGGGTTTGTGTTTTATCAGGTAGTGCATGGAGTGTTTGAAGCAGGAGCTGCCTTATTGTCTGTGCCTCCAAGTTCCCATGTGGCTGAGAAGCAAGGCGGCAGCACAGTTGTAACAGGTGCTCAGGTGCTCCCCTGTCTGGGTGGCAAGTGTGCCCATATGTGATCCCATAGAAGGCTCCAGGCCTGAGGAAGTCAGGGAAGCAGAAGGGGAGTGGGGAGGCCAGCAGGAGTGTGGGCCTCAGTGGGGAGGGAGTGGGCAAGGCAGCATGGAGGGTAAGAGGCCCACACTAGCCACACTAGGGCCTCAGGAGATTGTGGACGCCGTCGGGAGCATTATTCCCTGGAGGTAGGGACGTGAGACAGAGCGGGAACCGGGATTTGAGAACTGTATCATGGTTATAGGTGGGGTAGGAGTCCACATCCCAGCCATACCTGGGCATCTGCCCAGGCCCCGGCATGTGGTGTGCACCCACCAGATGGTCACTGCCCTGAAAGAACTCAGCACTGTGCTTCTCTCCCTGCCTCTGGTGTTTTCTGTCAGTGTGCACGGTGTCGGGCAAAAGTGGGCTGAGGGAGCTGTCCCACTGCCTGCTGCACCCAGGCATGGCCAGACACACGCCTCTGACATGCTTCACTGTTGGCCCTGGCACCCTGCAAAGCAGCCTCCAGTGGGACCCAAGCAGGGGATGCCACCTTTTCCTTGGGTGGTTATGTAGTTGCTAGAGCATTGAGAGGATGAAAATTTTTGTTTTGTTTTGTTTTGTTTTTTTGAGACGGAGTTTCACTCTTGGTGCTCAGGCCGTGCAGTGGCGCAATGTCAGCTCACGGCAACCTCCACCTCTCAGGTTCAAGTGATTCTCCTGCCTCAGCCTCCCAAGTAGCTGGTATGACAGGTGCCCACCACTATATCCAGCTAATTTTTATATTTTTCGTAGAAACAAGGTTTCACCATGTTGGCCAGGCTGGTCTCGAACTCCAGACCTCAGGTGATCCACCTGCCTTGGCCTTACAAAGTGCTGGGATTATAGGCGTGAGACACCGTGCCTGGTTGGATATAAAGTATTGAGTACTAGTGGCTAGGAGGGACCAAGAGAAGGAGGAAGAGATTTTTCAGTTCTTCCCATGAGCTAAGCCAGCGGGGCAGGCCTAGCCCTTGCACCATGAAAGTGGGAGAGAAGTGATACAAAGATCCATCTGATGTCACATATGTCACAGGCCTGCTTCTTGCAAAGGGCCTCCTGCAGGATGGGGTCTGCATGGGGCTTTGCTGAGTAACCCCCATCCAGGCCCTATCCCCTTCCCTCATGCCCCTGTGACCTCTGGCACCATGACCTTCTCCCACCTTCTGGCTCTGGGAAGCTCCAAGCGTCCCTCACCTGCCCGCTCACCTGCCTGCTAGGTTTCCAAAGCTAAACAGAGGCGCAGCTATCTGGGCAGGGCAAGGGGGCAAACGGCCTGCCTGGGTTTCCCGTCTGAGAATCCAGTTTTGCTTCTCCCTTTTAGGGCAACATCAGAAAGGATCTGAAGAACGCTGTGCTGTTCTGGGGTGAGGAGGCTAGAATAGCAACTTACAAATAAGTCCCTCCCCTGGAAGGGAGGGAAGGAGAAGGTTCAGAGGCTTGTCATTTAGGCACCCCAACTTGTAAACCTTACCAAGGTGCCAGGCCCAGAAGGGAGAGGGTCGTGAGGGCAACTCCCCCACCCACACCTGCCTTTTCACCTCTCCCCTATTTCACGAGCATTTACCATGCATCAGATACGTTCCTCACAGCACCTTTATGCTGCAGGGACTGCCCTTTTCATGCTGCAGGTGAACAAACACCTGACGAAAAGTTGTCACGTAGACAAGGTTGCAAGCTTGGTAGAGACACAGTAGGAACTAGAGCTCAGGAGTTCTGGTCCCAGCTCCTTCTGCCTCCCTCACATCATCAGCCCTAGACTACCTGAGAGCAGAGAGGACAGAAAGTCAATACCTTGTACTCTGAAAACTCAGTGGTGGTTCTCACCCTCTCAGTGGGGCAGGTGGCCTCACACCCCACCATGAGCTAAACAGGGTGCATGGGGGACATGGCCCCACTGGCCATTCTACACACTCATGCCAACAGCTGCCAGGCACCAGCCTTACCACTGATTTTTGGACAGCTTGTCTGTGCCAAGTGCCATTCTAGATGCAGGTCCCAACTTTGGGGACGAACCAAGAAGCTCAAATGGCCTAGACCTGGGAGGGGTGGCCAGAGGCTTGTGCTGGAGGAACCTTAGGTGAGTTATTTAACCTGTCTCAACCCTCCTTCCCAGACCCTCCTTCCTGCCCTCCCACTCCCCTACATCAACATCAGCCCTTCCCTTGGGAAAAAAAAAATTCATCTTTTCCAGAAAGAAGGACAGGCAGTAGCAGTGAGCAAGGGTGTCCCTGGGTGCCCTGTACGAGGTCACACACAGTAAGATGTTTCCAAACCTCAGGCTGGAGCAGGTCGTCCCCGTGCATGACCTTCTGGAGAAAATGGATGGACATTCGGAAGTGGGGGCTGTGCAGGATATGGGGTCCTGGCCACCCTTGCTCACTGCTACTGCCTGTTCCTCTTTCTGGAAAAGATGAACAGGGTGTATGTGGATGCTGCCGCTGGTGGTGAGGATGAATGAAAGAAATGGTGATTCAGGCCCCATAGGCATTGCTGTATTCGCTCCAGCCGTAAACAACTTTATAGCCAAGTGCAGTGGCGCACCAGTGGCACACCTGCAGTCCCAGCTACTCCAGAGGCTGAGAAAGGAGGATTGCTTGAGCCTAGGAGTTTGAGGCCAGCCTGGGCAACAGAGCAAGACCCTGTTTCTAAATGATAATAATAATGCATACTATTTTAGTTGCGGGTAAGTTTTTCCTTTATCCATCTGTTGTTCAGCAACTGTGTATCTCTTGCCTGGCCCAGAATTGAGAGATAATGAGAGGCCCAGACAAACTCCCTGTCCTCTCATTCAGGGTTGAACAATTGTTGCTTTATGGCTTTATGACAAAGTCCCTGGTGCTCATGATCATCTTTGTACAGTGGTGGGGCTGTAGGGAGCCCTAACATAGCCTGGGGTAGGCTGTCTAGATAGTGGATACCCGAAGGCTGAGGCCACATTAAGGACTTAGGTAGAATTCATGCACTATGAATTTTTTTTTTTTGAGATGGAGTTTCACTCTTGTTACCCAGGCTGGAGTGCAATGGCGCGATCTCGGCTCACTGCAACCTCCACCTCCTGGGTTCAGGCAATTCTCCTGCCTCAGCCTCCTGAGTAGCTGGGATTACAGGCACGCACCACCATGCCCAGCTAATTTTTTGTATTTTTTAGTAGAGACGGGGTTTCACCATGTTAACCAGGATGGTCTTGATCTCTTGACCTCGTGATCCATCTGTCTCGGCCTCCCAAAGTGCTGGGATTACAAGCGTGAGCCACTGTGCCCGGCCTCTTTCTTTCTTTTCTTTCTTTTGGAAACAGAGTTTCGCTCTTATTGCTCAGGCTGGAGTGCAATGGCGCAATCTTGGCTCACTGCAACCTTCACCACCCAGTTTAAGCGAGTCTCCTGCCTCAGCCTCCTGAGTAGCAGGGATTACAGGCCCCCAACATCACGCCCAGTTAATTTTGTATTTTTAGTAAAGACGGGGTTTCTCCATGTTGGTCAGGCTGGTCTCAAACTCTGGACCTCAGGTGACCCACCCACCTTGGCCTCCCAAAGTGCTGGGATTACAGGCATGAACCACCACACCCGGCCGACATTATTTTTCTTTAGTTAATTTTTGACAGTTTACACATACACATTGTAAAATGTGTACTGATGCACAGTGTTACACAGCAAGCATAAGACTTACTCCACCTTCTCTCTCCACCTACCCAGCCCCCTTCTAGAGGCAACCATTGTTACCAGTCCTTGTGTTTTCCTGCAGCCAGAGTCCATTTGTATCCTGCATCTATATGTTTTCTTGGCATTTTTTTTTCCAAATGGGATCTTGCTACACTGGAGGTTTTCCCCCTGGGATGATTTGGCACCCCCACCTTCCCACCCCAGGGGACACTTAACAATGCCTGGAGATATTTTGATTGCTACAGATGATCAGTGGGGGCCAGGTGCAGTAGCTCGTGCCTATAATCCCAACATTTTGGGAAACTGAGGCAGGTGGATTGCTTGAACTCAGGAGTTCAAGACGAGGCTGGGCAACATGGCGAGACCCCATCTCTACAAAAAAAATTTAAAAGTTAGCTGGGTGTGGTGGTGTGCACTTTTGGTGACTCAGGAGGCTGAGGTGGAAGAATCAATTGAGCCTGGGAGGTTGAGGCTGCAGTAAACTATGATTGTGCTACTGGGCAACACAGTGAGACCCTGTCTCAAAAACGAACAACCCAAATTGGCGATTACTGGGTAGAGGCCAAAGATGCTGTCAAACATTCTATAATGCACGGGACAATCCTCACTTACATGGTCGAAAATGTCAACAGTGCTGAGGTTGGGAAACCTGGTCCTGCATAAGCACAGGGTCTGCACCGTGTGTGTGTGTGTTTTCATGTATATTCTGCATCATTCACATTTGTACATCCACCTCATTATTCTTTGTAGCCACAAAAATCCATTACCTGGATGCTCCACCATTTTCATTCAGGTGTTTGCACTCTTTTTGCCATTATAAACATTTATCCTACGAGGGCTACTCTTTTCCATACACATGGCTTTGCTGTGTGAGGTCAAGGGAGAAGCTGATGGAGGTGGGATGGATGAACCTGATGATTCATTAGCATTTCAAATGACCTATTAAAGAGACCTTCAGTCTCTCTCAGGCACAGTCTGTCTGGAGAGTGGATCTGGAGTCCTGGCTGCTAACCAGGGCCGAGATCCTCAAAAGTCTGGTGGAGAAACGTCCTCTGCATTCCTCGTGTACAGACAATGGTGTTCTGACCACCTGTCTCTCTGCAGGACCAGGGTGTCCCCAACCTGAAGACGACAAGCCAGGTCCTGAGTGATGCCCCTGAGCTGAGTGTCCAAGGCCAGCCTGAGGCGCCCCCATGGCCCCGTCTTTCCCCATGGAGAAAGGACTCACTTTGTCCCAGGACTGTTGGGACTTCGTGCACAGCCTGAAGATGAGGAGCAAATATGCCCTTTTCTTGATTTTCGTGGTGATAGTTTTTGTCTTCATTGAAAAGGAAAATAAAATCATATCAAGGTGAGGGTTGCAAGCCCAAGTCTTCATCCTCCTTTCAAGGTGGGGTGGGGGGGGACAGAGAGGTAACTGCAGGGCTCTCTGTGGACCTGCAAATGCCTTCCTTCAACAAGCCATCCCCAGGCCCCTCTTGTGTCCCAGGCAGTGGATCCTGCACACGTCCTCACGACGGTACAGGGGTGAGACTTGGGCTCTGGACTCTACAACCCAATCCCTGTCTGAGTAGATCAGGGCTTGGGTTGTAGAGTAGACACTGGCCTGGGTTGGAGTGCCTCGTGGTGGCCCTCTACAACTGTGAAAGATTAGGCAAGATAGTTCCCATTTCTGAGTCTTCATTTCCTCTCCTGTAAAATGTGGCTAACGTTGGGACCAGCGTTGTTGTAAAGGTTAATGAGAAAATGTAAAAGCATCTAGCCCAGTATCTGGCACATAGTTGGTGTCCAGGATCTGCTGGCTGCGACTATTACTATTAATGTACTTCTTGGCCTAGAGTGATGCCTTGCATTAGCAGCACATCACCTGTAGAAGTCTTGATGTCATTGCGCCCATGGAAAGGCAAGGTGCTAGTACTTAGGTACTCTGATGGGCAGGGCTGCCATGTGCAGCTGCCAGGTTGTGTACTGGTCAACTCCAGGGGCATGCTACTCTGGGAACGCCCCCTTACCCCTTCAAATTGGCAGCATACAGCTATGTGCCCTGGGCCTGTTAGATATAGAAAGATTGCTTAGCCTGTTCTCCTCCCAGGCACAAGCCCTGCCAGAAAGCATTAGCTAAGATGGGTAGATCAGGGATTGGGTTGTAGAGTAGACACTGTCAATGCCCCATTTGGATCACTGAGCAAGGACTGTTCCAGCACACGCCTGTTGGGTTCTACTGCAAGCCCCTACAGCTCTGCACCTGAGGGCTTCCTCTCTACCTGCACACTTGCAAGCCGGAAGCACCAGGGAGTAAATGTCCCCCAGGTCCCCATCAGACTGAGCGTCCAATGCCCACACGTGATCCTAGTAGCACATCCTTACATGGATGCCTTTCCTCCCCTGCCTCACTTCTCCACCCAGTTCTTCCTGCAATCATGTCCCAATTAAACGACTGAAACACAAATCCTTGCCTCAAAGTCTGCTTTTGGGGAAATCCAACTGAGACAGGCTTTGGTGATCTAGTTGGAGGACTGCTTAGGGTTGCCCGGGAGGCGGGGTCCTCAGTCAGCCACTGACCCTGGTCTTCTTGTGTCCTCACAGGGTCTCAGACAGGCTGAAGCAGATACCCCAAGCCCTGGCAGATGCCAACGGCACCGACCCAGCCCTGGTCTTGGCTGAGAACGCGTCTCTCTTGTCCCTGAGCGAGCTAGATTCAGCCTTCTCCCAGCTGAAGAGCCGTCTCCACAACCTCAGCCTGCAGCTGGGCGTGGAGCCAGCAGTGGAAGCCGCCTTGGAGGAAGAGGAGGAGGGAGAAGAGGAGGAGGAGCCGCCCAGACCGGCCGCGGCAAGGCCCCGGCGCCACGTGCTGCTCATGGCCACCACGCGCACCGGCTCCTCGTTCGTGGGCGAGTTCTTCAACCAGCAGGGCAACATCTTCTACCTCTTCGAGCCACTGTGGCACATCGAGCGCACGGTGTCCTTCGAGCCGGGGGGCGCCAACGCCGCAGGCTCGGCCCTGGTGTATCGCGACGTGCTCAAGCAGCTCTTCCTGTGCGACCTGTACGTGCTGGAGCCCTTCATCACGCCGTTGCCTGAGGACCATCTGACCCAGTTCATGTTCCGCCGCGGCTCCAGCCGCTCCCTGTGCGAGGACCCGGTCTGCACGCCCTTCGTCAAGAAGGTCTTCGAGAAGTATCACTGCAAGAACCGCCGCTGCGGGCCCCTCAACGTGACACTGGCCGCCGAGGCCTGCCGCCGCAAGGACCACATGGCCCTCAAGGCCGTGCGCATGAGGCAGCTGGAGTTCCTGCAGCCACTGGCCGAGGACCCCCGCCTGGACCTGCGAGTCATCCAGCTGGTGCGCGACCCCCGCGCCGTGCTGGCCTCGCGCATGGTGGCCTTCGCCGGCAAGTACAAGACCTGGAAGAAGTGGCTGGACGACGAGGGCCAGGACCAGCTGAGGGAGGAGGAGGTACAGCGGCTGCGGGGCAACTGCGAGAGCATCCGCCTGTCCGCAGAGCTGGGGCTGCGGCAGCCCGCCTGGCTGCGGGGCCGCTACATGCTGGTGCGCTACGAGGACGTGGCACGCAGGCCGCTGCAGAAGGCCCGCGAGATGTACCGCTTCGCAGGCATTCCCCTGACCCCGCAGGTGGAGGACTGGATCCAGAAGAACACGCAGGCAGCCCACGACGGCAGCGGCATCTACTCCACGCAGAAGAACTCCTCAGAGCAGTTCGAGAAGTGGCGCTTCAGCATGCCCTTCAAGCTGGCCCAGGTGGTGCAGGCTGCTTGCGGCACCGCCATGCGCCTCTTCGGCTACAAACTGGCTGAGGACGCCGCCGCCCTCACCAACCGCTCGTTCAGTCTGCTGGAGGAGCGGGGCACCTTCTGGGTCACGTAGACCGGGCCAGGGCCCGGTGTGCCCCTCCTGGTGAAAGGCCTGCCCCGCCTTTCTGCCGCAGCCCTCGCAGAGGGCGGATGCGCAGCGTGGTGAGCAAGCAGCGTCTCCTGTAGCAGTAGGGCCCCCAGCCAGCGCTCCCACCGCAGCGGCGGCCCCAGGGTTAATCGTGGAGAACATGACAGTGCCCTGACTCCTTGAGGGCCATCACACCCAGACCCAAGGGGCTGCAGCCTCCTGAGCAGGCCCAGGCAGGCCCGGGCCTGTTGGCAAGCTTCAATCTCACACACACAGAAACACATTTGTGCCTGGAGACCCTGCAGGCCAGAGTCCAAATATTTAATAACCAGAAGGAGCAAGGCTCTGCTCGGACCTCCTGTTTTATTTGATGTTAACCGTTTCTTGTCTGGATGGTGAGGTCTGAAATTTGGGTGGATCCTTGGAGGAGGGGCTGGGACAGCCCAGGGTGTCAAAGGTGGTATTTGAGGCTCATTTGAGATGACAGTGGCTGTTTACCAACCAGTACAGAGCGAGTCAGCATTTTCATGAATGGGATGGCTGTGCTGGTTACTGATGAATCAGGACCCCATATAGAGCTGCAAAGCACACATGCATATAGACATACACGCATGTACACCACACGTGGACAGACAAGCATCATAAAGGCACAAGTGCACACACATCTATGCAGACAAGCTTCCTCGCTGCTTGTGCTCACAGGGTTTTTCTGTTTCACACACCTCAGAGGAGCCTGTGATTGCATTTGTAGGAATATTTGGAAGGCAGGGCGGGGGAAGGAAACACGTTAAAGGACCATGACGTGACACGGTTCCCAGCTAAATTTGGCACTGAACGGTGGATTCAGAACTGTAGCGTTCAAAGCCCCTGCCCGCCTTAGATTCTCATGGCTACCTCCTCTGACCCATCCACATCCTCGAGGCTGGCAGGCAGGATGTTTCGAAATGGTGCAGCCAGCTTGGCTGGCTCCAGAACGTGTCCATATTTGAAGGCTGCCTCAGGCCTGGCAGGCAGAAGCAGCTGTGGTCCCTGGAGGCAAAAGGCAGCTCACCAGGCCTTCCATTTCCAGCCAGGCCTCATGTGGGGCAGGGCCAAGAGGAAAGTACAGAGTGCCCTTGGGGGTGAAGTCCCACCGGGTTGCTGTTCCCTGAGAAGCCGCCGTCTCCCTCGTGGACAGAGGTCGCCAGCTGGTCCCCATGGTTACAGCCAGTGCCTGGAATTCCTCCTTAGGGCTCTGGGAAGAGTATTGCTCAACACAGGATGTGCTGGGTGTTTCATTTGGGGTTTTTAAGTTATTTATGGCTTGGTGTCTTTCTTGTTTGATGTTTTGCTTTTGTTTTGCCTCTCCCAAGCAGTGAAGGCCTGAGAGCTTGAGGGAGGCTGGGGAAAACCAGCAGGGAGCACTTGGCTCCTGGCAGAGGGAGAGGACAGGAGGAGGAGCCTTCCCAGGAGGAGCGAGGACAGGTGGGCACATGGCAGGCCACAGTGCCCTATGGGCTTTTCTGTTTGAACCCCATGTGGGATGAATCTCAAAGCCAACAGTGTTCTTGCCTCATGTCCAGAAGCAGTGGAGATTCACAGCCCTCGCCTCTCCCTGAGAAGAAGCTGGATTTGAAAATCCCTCCCACGCTCTAATATATTTCCTGGGTGGGCAGGGGCTCAGGACCAAGCAGCAAGTGTACCCAGAGTAGAAGCCCGTCCCCACTCCCACCGCAAACCCAGGAGGAGAGCTCAGTATCCAGAGCTTGCAGGGGCTGCAAGCGTTTGCTGAAGGCTGCCCAGCTCTGTTTCTGGTTTCCTGGACAACTTCTATGTCAGATTATGCCCATTGTAAACCCAGAGGGCTACATTTTGGGTTGAGTAATACAGACATTGGGGAAGCACAGGATCTGAGTCCAGCGTTGCCGTGGGGGAGGGAAGAGTGTGTCCTGGCAGGAAGCCACCATTTGAGAAGGTGAGGCTGTTATCCATCCCGTGGGACTCGCTCTAACAGCCCTTTAGAGCTGCTGGGTCTCTGTCACTGTGGCCTCCAGTCATTCAAGGAGGTCTCCACTCTTGGGGTTTTTTTTTTTTTTTCTTTTCTTTTTCTATTTTGCCTGAACATCCCAATACTCTTGGTTTTAGAATCCAAGAGTAAGATGTGCAGAGATATGGTTCTAATTTAGAGTTCAAAGGAACACCAGCTCTGAAAACGTGACCGTGGGGCCAGGATGTTTCTGGCAGGCCCAGAAGTGTTGGCCGTTCTTCCCCAGCCTCCCGCCTGCTCCCTCCTTTATTCCCCACATGAAGGTGGGGGGTGCTGGGACTGGGGAGGGGCAGCCACCTCCATCTGAGGCTCTTCCTTGGGGCCTTGCTAGTGTGGACAGCAGACTTTATCCCTCCTTCTTACTCTGGGCCAAAGCCTCCCACGCTGCCCTCTGAGGATGGTACCAAGAGTGGGCCTTTGGGACTTCTCAGGACGTTGACAACGTGCACACTGCACGTTGACTTTATTTATTTATTTTGTGAAAAGAAGGGACAGAAGATACCTTTTTATCTGCAGGGACTCAAAGCTGTACCCAAATCAAGAAAGACAAAATAACAATAGAAACCATTCATACACTCCATTCACCCAAGGACACCGGAAGACGATTCAGAACACTAGAGGAGAATAAGCCCGAGCTTCAGCACCACAGTGGCCCCTGGACATTGAGATCATGGCCCAATGCCGTAGTTCATGGCGGGCAGATTGCCTGAGCTCAGGAATTTGAGACCAGCCTGGGCAACACAGTGAATCCCATCACTACTAAAATACAAAAAAAATTAGCCAGGTATGGCAGCGGGTGCCTGTAGTCCCAGCTACTCAGGAGGCTGAGGCAGGAGAATCACTTGAACCCCAGAGACGGAGGTTGTAATGAGCTGAGATTGTGCCACTGAACTTCAGCCTGGGCAACAGGGCAAAACTCCACCTCAGAAAAAAAAAAGATCTGAGATCCCTTGGTTTCTCTCGTGTTGATCTGAGATGCCACATCAAGGCCCTTTCTGCTGTATTATCTCTGCCTGGGTGTTTAAGTCACAACTTAAGTGGGTGGATGTTTCCTAGCAATGGATCCCTTGGGGCTCAGTGATGCTCTGGGAACCTTGGGGTTTGGGGAAGGACTGTGGTGTGACTATTGGCTTGACACGCTGTGGCTGTGGTTGGAGTCATCCACGTGGACACAGTTTTCAGCTTGGAGCTGGGATGGAGAAGGTGGAACCGCTTCAGACTGGGCCTCCTTTTTCAGTGAGGCCAGCCCTGGTTTCTCCTCTGTTTCAGCTGCTCTGCCAGAAGCCTTCCCCTGCAAAGTGCCCACCTGCCTGGAGACAGACGGAGCAGCGGAGGCCTCTCTCCACCGCCGCAGCCTCCCCAGCACAGAGGACCATTCAGCAATGAGTGTTACTCATGTTCCTTCTTGTTGATGAGTTCTGCAGCCCAGCCTATAGCAATGGCTCAGAACCTTCCAGGCCTTGGTGAGATAGGGCAGTGTCTAATGCTCGCAGGCTGTCCCCACTCTGCCTCTTGCCATCTTCCCCTCAGGACCTGTTCATAAATTGGGGAATGGACGAGAGCCCTGGAGGGTCCTTGGGAGTAGTTAGTGGAGGGCAGGATTCCCAGGTCCCCATAGAGAGGGCAAGAGAAGCCCAGATGTGCACAGAAGCCCATCTCTGTCACACGCACCCCAGCTGGTCACCGAGTTATTTTCCAAAAGCTGAGGAACATAAATCAAATTTAGGCTTTTGTCCCTCTTCAATACATGCACTTGAAAATAACTAAACAAGCAAAAAAGAGATGGTAAATGACGAGTTTGTTTCCTGTCGGCTAGCACCCTCAGCCTGGGAGCTGCTGCTGGAGGCTGGCGTAGCGGGGCAGCTGCTGACCAAACCCACAGAACAGAGGGCACCAGGCATCACATGACATCTATCTCTGCCATCTGTCTGGCAATGGAAGGAGCTCCAGCAGGAGTCCTCCTCTGAGTCATCCTCTCCTATACTAGGACCTATTTTAATTGACCGGAGGGGCCCAGTGCAGTGGTTCACACCTGTAATCCCAGCATTTGGGGAGGCCAAGATGGGAGGATTGCTTGCGTCCAGGAGTTGGAGACCAGCCTGGGCAACATGGGGAGACCAGTTAACTGTAGGGCTTGTCCCTTGCTAGGACAGGAACAGAAGACTGGATGGCTGTGTCCTCAAGGCAGTCCCCTCCCACCCCCATTCCCAAAGTCTGAAAGCAAAACCAGCTCTCAAAGGGCTGATTCCTGAGGCAAGGAGAGAGAATGGGGGCGTGGTGGGAGCAGACGCCTGCACAAGCCAACTGGGTCTTATTGATCTGTCCAAGCTGATAGAAGGACCCTCTGCTGGAATCCAGGGCTCCTGAGTTATTGGGTTTGTTTGTGAAGCTTCTAGGACAAGTCGCAGCCAGATGGAAGGGAGGGCCCAGGGCTTCCTGGACTCGCTGCAGTTTCAGAGATAGTGGAAGTTGCTCTGTACCTCAAAAGCATAAAGCAGAATTGGCAACTTCACATGTCTCAAGAGCTTCAAGATCCTTTGGTCTCATGTCCTTTGGCATCCCGTAACTGTATGCGGGACAAATCTGAACATGTTTCCAAGGCTACAGACATGGTACCTTCTCATGGACCTAGCTCAGGCACCTAGATCAGGTACTTCGCTGGGGAAATGAAATGACCCACGTGGTCTGCTTCCTCTGCCATTGGCTTGAACTGGGCACCCCCTGAAGTCTCCATCTCAGCTGTATTTTCTGGTCCACGTTTGCCTGACTCCCCCTGCTTCTGCCTGGGTCCTGCACACTGTCCTTTTGCCAACACCTCTGCCCTGTGTCCTCTTTCATGTCTGCATGGTATGATAACCCTTCGTGGCATACATAGCCACAGTATGTACATATGCGCCCACGTGTGTGTGTGTGTGTGTGTGTGTAGCATGTAGCCCATTCTGCTCAGCCTCTGGCACTGCTCCACATTGCTCCCAGCCCCACTGCTGTCACTGTTGTCCCAGATGTCCTTGCTGTGGCCACAGACAATCTGCCATCTCCTGGAAGTGCTGGGGCTGCCCTTCAGAGAGCTGGCAGCCGCCAGCAGTCAGGGCCTGCTTTGCAGACTAGAATGTGAACCCCTCTCCTGTTGGCCTACTTGACTTATTTAATTAAAAATGAAAACATGCAATGAGCAAGACCTGCAGTGTGTCTCTGCCTCTTCCTTTGCATTTGTTCTCAGCAGCAATTGGGTCATAATTTTAACAGTGGAAGAAGGGAGGTGACTTCCAGCATGAAGCAGGACAGGGAATTCCCCTGCCCATTCCCAAGGGACCAAAGGCACTAGGGCACTATGGGACAGGATGACTATTCCTTACGTTACCAGGCTGGCAGAGCTGGTGGGGATTGCACTGGGTAAAGAGAGAGTAAACCCAGGTATTTGTGGGCAGACACAGGAGCGATGCCCCAGCAGTCGGGGGCCTGGGCACAAGTCCCAGCTTTGCCACTGGCCGTGTGACCTTAGATGAGTCACTTCCCTGACTTGGACACCAGTTTCCTTTTAAAATGAAGGTATAATCAGTTGTTTACAACCGTTGTTCCCAAAAAGCCCCATTAGGGAGTCAAAAGTCAGCGGAAAGGGTAGGCGGCACCCTCTTAAGGAGAGCCACTGTACCTTTTGATACGCTTTATCTGTAGCGTTTTGACATGCTTCAGGTAGCATTTTAGATTTATTTGGCCTTCAACTAAATCTCCAAAAGCTCATGAGAAGATCGCCAAGGATCCTTTCAGCTAAGAAATTGAAGGGAGTCCCAGAGATACTAAAAAGAACAAAAACAAAGAAGAAAACAAAAAATAGAAAAAGAAATTGAAGGGAGTCCTTTGAAATTGCAGTTAGATCCGTCATAACAACTTCAGTTCTTGTTAGATTTCAGCCCTGCTTGTCTCCCAAGAGCTGCCTATAGGGCATGGCCATTTCCCCAGAGAGAAAGGAGAGAGTTCGTATTTTAACACAGAAGCCAGAGCTGGTGGGCCTTTGTAGGTCTCGGGACATGGCGGGAGCAGGACCAGCAGCTGCAGGAAGAGGCCAGAGGAGGGCTGAGCACAGGGACAGTGGCTCCTGGAGTGATGGAGTAAAGACTCAGAGAGGCTCAGTGAGAGGCCCCCTCCCCAGATCTCAAACCTGTGTCTGCCAGTTCACCCAGTCCAGGTCTGGGAAGCTCAAGCCATCTCCCTCCTGCCCCTGAAAGTACTTGAGCCGGTGCCTGTCATCCCAACCTGAACAGAAACTGCCACCCCTCAATCCGATGCTATTGCTGTCTCCCTGCACTGGGAACTGGATATAGTTAGTTTAATTTCTAGGCTGTGTTTCCTACCACAAATGACCCCCTGGGGAAACAAATTGCACTAATCACAGAGCGGAGAAGCCTGGATGCCTCCCCACCCACCCCCACCTCAGCCACCAGGCCGGAACCGTCTCTCCTCCTCCTCCTTCTCCCGACCCCCAGACTCCTTTGGGATCCTCAATCTTCCTTCCTACACCCCAATTTACCCAACCCTGGGGAGAAGCCAAGTGCCCCGTGGCTCTCTAGGACAGGGAGAGCCAGCTCGGACTCTCTAGAAAGCAGTTTGGTCAGCAGGGGTCTGAGGTCAGGGACCTGTGCCATTGCCCACCGAGCCCTGCTGGGCCCAGCCCTGGAGCCTGCAGCAGCGTCCCAAAGTGTGTGTGCAAGAACGTGGTCACAGGGTTGCTTTGGGAGGTTACAGTGTACGTTAGCGATGACAGGCTCTGCCAGGCCGCTTTCCTTTGACTTACAGCCTAGAAAGAACAATTTTTATGAATTCCTTTATCATGAAAACCTTTTTTTCCTCCCAAACAACAACATTTTCAGGACTCTGGCCTCCTTTATTTTTTAAGGCTTTGTCACCCAGTTGGGAGTGCGGTGATGCAATCACAGCTCACTGCTGCAGCCTGGACCACCCAGGCCCAAGCAATCCTCCTGCCTCAGCCTCCCAAGAAGCTGTGACTACAGGCATGCACCACACTTGCTAGTTTTTTCTGTATGTTTTTAGAGATGGGGCCTCACCGTGTTGCCCAGGCTGGTCTAGAACTTCTGAGCTCAAGCGATCTGCCAGCCTCAGCCTCCCAAAGTGCTGGGATTACAGGTGTGAGCCACTACACCCAGCCAAGACTCCATCATTCTACAGAAGAGTTAGTAGCTACCAGCAGCCTGCAGCTGGAAGTGTGTAGGACCAAAAGCCACCCTAAGCAGACAAGAAGGTGGCGGGTGAGTTGGCTGGGAGAAAAAGCCCAGGGTTGGGTTTAAGGCTCATCCCCCTTCACGCCATCCTCACTGAACTGCCAGGGTAGGAGGAGCCCTCAGAGATTGCAGCAGCTTTGGGGGCACTGTGGGCCAGGGCTCAAGGCCCTGAGACATCCATGCTGCTGTCCCCAAACCTCCCTGGTTCTTGTTTTCCTCAACTCAACGCACACCTCTGTGGCATAACCCAAAAGATGTGGCATCCCCCACAGAGAGTGGTTCTGGAGAACCAGGCCAGGCATAAACACCACGGGATACTATTTATCTGAGAAACAGGAGTTTGAGATAGCTCTTAGAGGAGCCATTTCTGAAACAGTTGGACAAAGGTTACCAGCAGTAAATAGGTTTCCTGGAGGTGTAATCCTCTAGTAGCTAGTAAAACCTTTGCCGAGTGCTGTGGGCTGTTTATTGGAAGAAGAAGCAGGTAGTAAATGCCCAGCAGGAGAGGCCTGCCCAAGAAAATTAGAAGGAGGAAAAAGAAGGAAGGGAGGGAGGGAGGGAGGAGGAAGGTGAGGGAAGAGAAGAGGAAAGAAGAAAGAAAGGGAGGAAGAGGCTGAGCGTAGTGGCTCACACCTATAATTCTAGCACTTTGGGAGGCTGAGATGGGAGGATTGTTTGAGGCTAGGAGTTCAAGACCAGCCTGGTCAACATGGCAAGATTCCATCTCTTCAAAAGAAGAAAAAGAAAGAGGAAGGAAGGGAGGAGAAGATTGGGAAAGGAAGGGAGAAAGGAAGGGAGGGAGAATGACAAGAGGATGCATTTCAGTGCAGAGAAGGAAGACAGCCAAGTCATTGAAAAGTATACCCTTGGGGATGGCCACAGCCACGGTGCCCAGGAGTTCAGAGGGTCAGGCCAAGCTCAGGTGCACTCAGCCCTGTATACCTTTGGCCATGGGCCTAATTGTCCCATGGATGTGTGGCTCACATTGTATTTGTTTTTTTAACAATTGACAGGCCAGGCACAGTGACTCACACCTGTAACCCTCAGCACTCTGGGAGGCCAAGGCAGGCAGATCACTTGAGTCCAGGAGTTTGAGACCAGCCTGGGCAACATGGTGAAACCCTGTCTCTACAGAAACAAAACAAAATATTCACCGGGCATGGTGGCACGCACCTGTAGTCATAGCTACTCGGGAGGCTGAGGTGGGAGAATCACCTGAGCCCAGGAGGTCGAGGCTGCAGTAAGCTGCGATCACATCACTGCACTCCAGCCTGGGTAACAAAGCGAGACTGTCTCAAAACAAAAACAAACAGTTGACATTCAAGGACAACACTCAAAAATGAAGGGTTTTTATTTATTTTTTATTTTTTTTAATTAGTAGCCATATGTGTACTTGGAACTCAAGAATTAGGCAGAGCTAAAATAAAGCAAAGTTGAAACCTAAAGGAAATGGTCCTGAAAATACTGTTTAGGTTTCTTTTTTTTTATTATTGTATTTTAGGTTTTGGGGTACATGTGAAGAACATGCAAGATAGTTGCATAGGTACACACGTGGCAGTGTGATGTGCTGCCTTCCTCCCCTTCACCTGTGTCTGGCATTTCTCCCCATGCTATCTCTCCCCAACTCCCCACCTCCCACTGTCCCTCCCCTATTTCCCCCGAACAGACCCCAGTGTGTGATGCTCCCCTCCCTGTGTCCATGTGTTCTCATTGTTCAACACCCACCTATGAGTGAGAACATGCAGTGTTTGATTCTCTGTTCTCATGTCAGTTTGCTGAGAATGACGGTTTTTGTTTTTGTTTTTGTTTTTTTTTGAGACAAGTTTCGCTCTTGTCATCTAGGCTGGAGTGCATGGCGAGATCTCAGCTCATGGCAACCTCCACCTCCCAGGTTCTAGCAATTCTCCTCCCTTGGTCTCCCAAGTAGCTGAGATTACAGGTGCCCACCACCACGCCCGGCTATTTTTTTTTTTTTTTTTTTCATATTTTTAGTAGAGACAGGGTTTCACCATGTTGGCCAGGCTGGTCTCTAACCCCTGACCTCAGGTGATCCCCTGCCTCAGCCTCCCAAATTGCTGGGATTACAGGCGTGGGCCACCGTACCTGGTCAAAGCGGTTTTATATAAAAAGCAGACTTGGCTCCTCTCAAAAATCAGGTGTCTTGGTTTAGGTTACACCGGCAGCTGACACTGGGACAAAGGCAAATGGTTTCCTTAGGAGCTGCAGACGGCCCGGAAAGGGCGGAGAGGAGGCAGGCAGCCAGCACAACTGTGCCTCTGAGCCAGCCACCACCTTGGGGAACTGGAACCAAATCCCTCTGAGAACCAGGTGCAAAGCCCGAGCCTTAAAGTCACTGCACCCTGGGGTGAGGGGAGGGAGTTTGAAGGCTCCTACATCAACCCCTGCCAGCCTAGGGCTGAGGCTGCTCTTGGAGAGTGTTAATTTCACAGCACAGCCGCTAGCCCCCACAGAACAGCATTCCCATACTCTGGAAAAAGTGTAAAGATGCAGCGGTAAAGACACAGGTGGCTGAAGTTTCCAGAGCACAGTGAAAGGTAAGGTATGGGGGACAGGACGGGGTCTGACAGCATCTGCGCCTTGGGGTGCTCTCATTCCCACAGAAAAATAGGTTCTGGTGGGTGGGGCAGCAGCCTCTTTAACGGAAGAAGGGCAGGGTCCCCACCTGCCCATCCCTCCATCTCCCCAGTACTGACGCAGCAAATCCCATTGCCATACGTCATAGCATTTGCACTGATGTTGGACTTCCAACACAATATCGTCTCTGTGAATTCATGTCTCTCCAACCTGAGAAAGCAGCAGGCCAAGAAGGCCACGGCTGCCGTGCCGTTCACTGTGATAGCTCCCCAGCCACTATAGGCATTGGAGTTTGCAGCCCCCTCACTTAAAGCTCTGGAATGCTAAGGTCTGGGCTGGCTTTC